ATACAATATATTGTTTCATAGTGTTATTTTCTGTTTCAACAATAAATATCCGATACGCTATTGATAGAGTTTTAACCTCTGAAAAAGTCGAAGCAGTAGTAATATATATATATTAATCTGGATCTTGATGTCGGATATTTAACTAAAAAGTCATTTTCAATGAAGATTTCTACTGGTTACTGAACTGGAAATAGTGAGGCCTAGTTAACCAAGTTCTGTCAGGTACTCATTCATGTTAGGTTCATCACACAAAGCGAAGACTATTTCTATCCCGAAGTCTCGTAAGAACAATACGCTTGGCTTCACAAAGGGATACAGTGTCGAAGATTACTCCAATTTAATTTTAATGGAATAAAATAGGCATTATCCCTAGGATTAAACTTGCTGTGTATCACGAGCCCTTGTTTCGTTTTCTAGTCTTCCTTACTTAACAGTTTTTTGTTTGTGAATGTGTTTTAGCACGGATGCATGTCCTATTACTTTCTTAGCAACAATTATTCTATAAATCACCCAAAGGGACAGTTAGATCAATAAATCTTGAATGAATTTTTCAAGAAAATATACTTATTTCAAGTGTGCTCAGCATGTTTCATCAGTGTGCAAATAACGTTAAATCTGCCAGTTCTTCAGGAGCACACTTATTCGGACTTTACTTTGTAAAGCAATAGATCAGATGAATTGTTAGGAACCGTTAATGTTTTAATGGTATAGGAACCGAGAAAAAAAAACCCATTAGTTTTGTTTTATTTTATTTTTTCTGAATTTCCAGTCATTTAAAAATATTTTCCAGTTTCAAACTGCAGAAAATACGTATTAATGTATCACGATTTTCTTCTACATTTGTAACAACACTTTCTGTAATTATTTTATTATAAGCTATAAGAAACAGTTTCTTATAGGCCTAAAATTAAAAGTCCGTAACCCACTGCTCTAGTCCTGTTCGCATGCTTCCATTGTAATTTTCAAATTCCTGTTTCGGTTAGTTATTCTCTTAGTTTTCATTCAGTCGTACATAGAGTATTGAAAATAAATTCGAACAGTTCTTCGAATATCTCATTCACTTTATTTTTTAAATGATTTAACAGTAACTAAATTTTTAAATTCTAAACACACACTCCACATTTTATTGCTTCATTTTTAAAATTTAATGTTATTTTTATGTACGAATAGAATCCTAGTACAAAAAAAAAGGCGAAGACAAAAGAGCTATCGTGGTTTGCTTTTCAACGGCGAATATATATATATATATATATATATATATG